ATGTGAGTTTGATCCCTGGGACCCACAAAATGGAAACAGAGAGCTGACTCTTGAAAGTTGTTCTCTGTCCTCCACAAGTAGGCTGCAGTATGTCCATCCCACCCTCACAAACAAAAACCAAATAAATGTAATTTTATTTTATTTTACTTTGTCTTTTTGACACAGGGTCTCTGTGTAGCCCCTGCTGGCCTGGAATACACTATATAGACCAGGCTGGCCTTGAACTCAACAGAGATCTGCCTGCTATGCTAGAATGAAAGCCATGTGCCACCAGGAACAGCTATAAATGTAGACTTTAAAAAGAGAGTCATGCTGGGTGTGGTGAAGCACACTTTTAATCCCAGCTCTCAGGAGGCAGAGGCAGCCAGATCACTGTCAGGCCAGCCCAGTCTATGTAATGAGTTCCAGGTCAGCGGGGCCTACAGGGAGACCCTGCTTCAAAAAAGATAGATAGATAGACAGATAGAGAGAGAGAGAGAGATATTGATTCAATGCCAGCCTAAGTATGCCTTTAATCCCAGCACTCGGGAGGCAGAGGCAGGCGGATCCCTGTGAGTTCAAGGCCAGTCTGGTCTACATAGTGAGTTCCAGGTCAGTGGGAGCAACAGGGAGACCCTGTTTCAAAAAAGATAGATAGATAGATAGATAGAGAGAGAGAGAGACAGAGAGACAGAGAGACAGAGAGAAAGACAGAGTTCAATGCCAGCTGAAGTATGCCTTTAATCTCAGCACTCCGGAGGCAGAGGCAGAGGCAGGCGGATCACTGTGAGTTCAAGGCCAGCCTGGTCTACATAGTGAGTTCCAGGACAGCTGGGGCTACAGGGAGACCCTGTCTCAAAAAGACCGAAAACAACAACAAAAAAAAAACCCAAAGTGTATACGTGTATGTTGGGGGTGGGGGTTAGCATTTGCCTACCAGGCTCAAGACCCTTGGTTCAATCTCTAGCAGAATAAAAAAAGAAGCCCACTAAGCTGACTTGACCTTTTGGAAGTCAGACAGAGTTGGGCTATTACTGAATTGTACTGGTATCTTGCTGTTGACTGGAGGGTGGAGTTAGTGTTCTCTGTGTCTATCTGGGCTGGCAGAACGCTCCAGCCTCCCACCCTGGAAGGTAGCCATGGCTGTTGCTGCTTACACTACAGCTAAATCAGTCCATTGGGTTCTTCAGGTGATGTGCTGGTGGTCCCCATCAAGCTCCACAAGTGTCCTTTCTGCCCGTACACTGCCAAACAGAAGGGCATCCTCAAGCGGCACATCCGATCACACACAGGTGAGAGGCCTTACCCCTGTGAGACCTGCGGCAAGAGGTTCACGAGACAGGAGCACCTTCGGAGCCACGCCCTGAGCGTAAGTGTCCCAGGTGTGGCCGTGTGACTGATGTTACCTACTGTGACAACACCAGCCTGTCTTGCACTTCTCTGTCCACTGGGGGTTCTCAGGGAATTTTAAGAAGGCCTCTGCTACTGAATTAAAGCCAGGTTGGTGGCACTTAAAGAATGCTAAAACTCACCTGATGCCTGGCATGCTTTCATTGTTTCTGTGGGTTGTGCTTTTGGTTTCAGATGGTATATCTTTTTGCAGTTCCAGATGGCTAGCCATTTGACCTTGCATCAGCTATTTTTGTTTCTGGTTGCAAGTCACATCTATGTGTATCTCCCTGCTCTCATCCTATAATCCAAAACATCTCTCTTGCAAATTTATTTTTTTATTTCTGGTATATGTTCTATAGCAGTCTATTTATTACTCCTGTTCATTCTTTTTTAAAAAATGTATTTATTTTTATTTTGTGTATGACTGTATTTCCTGCATGTATACAAATACACCTGTGTCATGCCTGCAGAGGTCAGAAGAGGGCATAGGATCCCTTGGAACTGGAGTTACAGGTAGTTGTTAGCTGCTATGTGGGTGCTGGGATTTGAACCCTGTTCTTCTGCAAGAACAAATCAGTGCTTTTAACTGCTGAGCCATCTCTCCAGTCCCCTATTCATTCTTGTACAAATTCTTAGTTGATTAAACACACACACACACACACACACACACACACAACAGCTTGTAACTGGGTGTGGTGGTGCACACCTTTAATCTCAGCACTTGGGAGGCCGAGACCAGGTGGCTCTACATAGTGAATCCAGGCCAGCCATGACTACAGGGATACCCTGTCTCAAAAAAAATTCCCAAAACCAAAAACCAAAACACCTTGCATGGCAACAGACTAGTTTTCTAAGAAAGCTTAGATTCTGCTAGAGATGATTGTCATGAGGCCAAGAACTTCAGGGCTGGGCCAGAAGTTGTGGGTTTCTTCCCACTGGTATGATGCCAGCATAAGTTGTATCCTCAGTTTCCCACCAACCCTAGCACCCTGGTGTAAGAAAGCGATATATTGCCATTTATAGAGTTACCTGTGGGCAGCAGAGCAAGAAGGCTTTAGCCCAAGGGGAACTCTGCTTTAACTCACTGCCCCCTTGGATTTCTACCTTCCACAGAGCAGTTCAGCTATGTAGAAAGGTGTTGTAATTATGAACATCTATGAACAAGGCAATTAGTCTTGTAAAATATAAGAATAATTTGGACTTCAAAGGATACTATCAAGAATTTGGGAGCCAGGGTTAGAGAGATGGTTCAGCAGTTAAGAGTATTGGCTGCTCTCACAGAGGACCCTTGTTCAGTTCCCAGCACCTACCTAGTGGTTAACAATAATCCATTCTACAGTTTCAGGGTATCTAGTGCCCTCTTGTGGCCTCCTCAGACATTGCATGCATGGGGTGCATTTACATACACTCAGACAAAACACTCACAAAATAAAAATAAATTAAAAAAAAATTGGAAGCTGCTAGGTGTGGTTGGTGCATGCCTTTAATCCCAGCATGCAGGAAGCAGAGGCAAGGTGATCTTTGTGAGTTTGAGACAAGCCTGATTTACTTAGTGAGTTTCAGGCCAACCAGAGCTACATAGTGAGACCCTGTCTTAAAAAAAATTAATAGCTGGGCATGGTGGCACGTGCCTTTAATCCCAGCACTTGGGAGGCAGAGCCAGGGGGATCCTGTGAGTTCAAGGCCACCCTGGTCTACATAGTGAGTTCCAGGACAGCTGGGGCTACAAAAAATAAATAAATAAATAAATAAATAAAATAAAATAAAATAAAAAATAAATAAAAAATAAAATAAAAAAACAAAAAACAAGCCGGGTGTAGTGGCTGCACTCAGGAGGCAAAGGCAGATGGATCTCTATGAGATCAAGGCCAGCCTGGTCAACATAGCAATTTCTAGGCCAGCTGGGGCTACAGGGAGACCCTGTCTCAACAAACAAACAAACAAACAAACAAGCAAAAACAATAATTTGGAAGCCAGGCATGGTGACATGTGCCAGTAATCCCAGCACTTGAGAGGTTAAAGCAGGAGGCTTGCCATGAATTTGAGGCCAGCCAAAGCTCCATAATGAGTTCTAGTCCAACTTTGGCTACAGAGTGTAGTCAAAACACAGGACTATAGAGATGATGCAATGGCTAAAAGGATGCACTGCTCTTCCAGAGGACCCAAGTTTGGTTCAAGGCACCCACATAATGTAGCTCACAGCCACCTGTAACTCTAGCTCCAGGGGATCTGATGCCTTTTTAGGATTCTGCAGGTACCTTCATCCACACTCACATAACATAATAAAACTAAAGTAAATCTTTAAAAAATACCCACATAGCTCAGTGATAAAGTACTTACCTGCATGCACAAGGCTCTGAATTGATTCCCAATAAATATTACTCAACAAAAGAAAAAAGAAAGAAAGAAGGAAAGAAACTCACAGAATGGGATAAATATTTGCCAGACATGTGTTTGATAAGAATCTACAATATGTAAAAAGCTCTCACAATGAAACAGTAAAAAGAAAAATAATCCAAGTAAACATGGTCAAGGGATTTGAAGAGGCGGCTCAGTGGTTAAGAGTGCTGTCTGCTCTTGCAGAGGACCCAGGTTCAATTCCCAGCACCCATATGGCAGCTAACAACTGTCTGTAACTCCAGTTCCAGGGGATGTGGCACCCTCTTCTGGCATGTGGGTTTGCTTGCACATGGTGCACTTACATACGTGTAGGCAAAACACTCATACATATAAAGTACAAAGAAATAAAATTAAAAAAAATTTAAAGGACATATAAATAGCCAATAAGCACCTGGAAAGATCAGCTTATTATTACTCATAAATTCAAACCAGAACCACTTCTAGGCATGGCAGCACAAGCCTATAATCCCAGCATTCAGGAGGCTTAAGTCAGGATTGGGAGTTTGAGGCTGGTTGGGCTACATAGTGAGATATTATCTCAAAAAAACAAGAAGAGCCGGGAGTGGTGGCACACGCCTTTAATCCCAGCACTCAGGAGGCAGAGGCAGGCGGATCTCTGTGAGTTCAAGGCCAGCTTGGTCTCCATAGTGAATCCAGGACAGCTGGAGCTACAGAGAGACCCTGTCTCAAAGAGACCAAAAAAATTTTTTTTTAAAAAAAGAAAATTAGTTCTTTCTTCAAAGGGGCTCTGTCCTTAGGGAGAGTCATGGGTTGGAGAGCCAGGTCCCTTTTCTAATATTTGAAGCTCTTGTAAGTAAGCAATGCACTTATTGAGTGGAGTGAAGGAATCTAGGGTGAGGCCTCTGTTGACATATGTGGGACTCTACTGTCTACTGTCTGCTATCCTAATACTAGAACAATTCAGGGTCATTAAAGTTGTATTAAAACAGGGTCTCACATCCTAATCAGTTCAGTCAGTGTCATTTATACCCCAAGCACTAGGGATCTGGGAATAAATGGGGCAGCCTCTGTCAGTGTTCTCTTGCGACTTACGGTCTGGTAAATTTTACCAGTAATTCCTGAGGAGTACAGTAAAGGAAGAAGCACAGGTGAGACTATGTAGCTAGGGACCTAAGCTGACCCAGACCAAGAGGAAGACTTCCTTGCACGGGAAGGGTGAGGGACTGTTGATGGAAGGGGGAATTGTTTCACCCGTGTACAGTGGCAGTGGGCTAGAAATAATCTCAGTGAGACTCAGACTGTGGAAAACGAAGCAAGGGGCTGGTGGAGGGGGTGTGTCAAACTGGAGGTCAAACAGGGGACAGGTCACATGGGGCTTGTAAAGATGGCACAGCTCACATGGGGCCTGTAGATGTGGCCTTGATCCCTTTCTTTTTAAAAAATTTTATTTATTTATTTTTTATGTGCATGAGTGTTATGCCTGAATGTATATAAGAGCACCCATGTCGTGCAATGCCTGAGGAGGACAGAAGAGGCTGTCGGATCCCCTTGAACAGTAGTTACAATTGTTAGCTGCCATGTAGGTGTTGGGATTTGAACCTGGGTCTTCTGAAAGAGCAGCCAGTGCTCTTAACCACTGAGTCATCTCTCCAGCCCCCAACCCCTTTTCTTTTTAAAACAAATTTTTATTTTATTTATTTGTGTGTCTTCATAAGTATATGCACATGGAGTCCCAAAGAGGGTGTTGGATCTAGAGTGAGAGTTACAGGATTTGCAGGACAGCTGGCTTGTTCCATGGATGCTGAGATCTAAACTCTGGTCTTCATGATTGCATATCAAACACTTGTAACTGATGAGTCACTTCTTCAACCCTTTGACCCCTTTTTTGTGACATTTGCTATGTCTGTTTGTGATTACAGGTCCACAGATCCAACCGTCCAATTATCTGCAAAGGTTGCCGAAGAACCTTTACAAGCCACCTGTCCCAGGGTCTTCGGCGCTTTGGGCTGTGTGATAGCTGCACCTGTGTTTCAGACACTCATGATGATGATGATGATTTGATGCCCATCAACCTCAGCCTGGTAGAGGCTTCATCTGAAAACCAAAAGAGTGATACAGACGACTGGCCAATCTACGTGGAGTCTGGTGAGGAGAACGACCCGGCCACAGAGGATTCTGATGACAAGCCACACATTCAGCCCAGCTTACCAGACCAAGAGACACTCATGTAGTATTTAATTGGTGGGGAAGAAGTTTTAGGTGTTATTACTTGTTCTATGGTAAAAGTTACCACTGAATGCTGTTATACTTACATTTTTGTTAGACTACATAGTAGATGTTGGCTATTGTGACTCAAAAGTTAGATAACTTTTTAGTGTGGTGCTCTTGGATTCTGAGGGCTTGGCTGGCTTCTCTTCAGTTCTGAGTGAATCAGGGTTGGTCTGGAGGTTTCTTAGTTTTCCTGCCGACAGGCAAACCCTGGGTAAGGAGGAAGATAAGAAAATTCCCCCGCATGTTTTCAGCTTCGCAATCTTCTGCATTCCTTTGTCATCATTTTTGTTTTGAAAGCCCCAGCTGACCTGGAACTCACTATGTAGCCCAAGCTGGCCTTGAACTCACAGAAATCTACCTGTGTCTGCCTCCCGAGTGCTGGGATTAAAGGTGTGTGCCACCATACCTGGCAATGGCTAAGCTTTTTATAATGAATTACACACTTTAATTTTCTGGCAAAGTATTAAGGGAAAGCCGCTTTGATAGAAAGCAGGCAGGCTGTCTGACTGCATGGTCATGAAAGGTCTTCTCTAAATCTAAGATTACAGTTCTAAAGGCCAGGAGTATTTATGTGCAGAAAAGCACAGAAAATGAGCTGCAAGGCTCCTGGGGATCCCTTCGCTTGTCCAGTTGGATTAAATTTTACATGATCCCCCAAAACAGAGCCTGTGAGTCAGGGTTGGGTGGTTTCCCTCTCTGGTCTTGTATTTGACAATTCTAAACACACAAACATGCTGTTCTGAAATCATAAGGCAAATCATTTGGGTAAAACTCAAAACGCCCCCCTGCTTTTTCCAGCCGTTTCTCAGAGGCATCTCAGTGCAACCTGGAAGGGTGCACATACCTGCCATTCTGTTATCAAGCTTATACCCAGACCTTTAATTGGAAGGAAAATGCAAGCCTATCTCAAGTTGTATTTCTGCATTGTTTAGCTTTTAGAAGAGCTTCTTGAAGGAAGGAGAAGGTTACTAGAACAAGTTTTTAAGCCAGTCTGCCCTCTATCCACTGTAGCCAGTTCATCATTCTAACAAAACAAGCCAAGCTTCTTTCAAGGGTCAGAGGAAAGGAGGCTGGATGAAGGACATACTTGAAGGCACTTTCATAAACTTTTCTTATATTAAAGTATCCAGAATGGTTTTTAAAAGAAACCCCCATGTTTTCCTTTAAGTACAATTTGTTTCAAAGAGCAGTAAAATTACCTATCTTTCTGCATCTTAAAAAATAACAAGTCAGAAGCATTATAAATTGACTTGTATGGGCTGGTGAGATGGTTCAGTGGTTAAGAGTATGTACTGCTTTTGCAGAGGACCTGAGTTCAGTTCCCAGCACCCATGTCAGGCAGCTCACAACTCTGTAACTCTGTAAGTCTGTAACTCTAGCTCCAGGGGAACCGACAACCTCTTCTAGCCTCCTCAGGTACCCTCATACCTGGAAATACCCTCATACACATGGCATACACTCATACAGACACACACATATACATAAATGAACATGAAACCTTAAAAAAATAAATTGACTTGTAGATATTAGTCTGGTCATTGAAGAATTAGAAATCTTTTTGAGGGATGGAACTGCAGTGGTAGAGAGCATTTGCATATCATTAGCAAGGCCCTGGGTCCAATCCCTAGTACTAGAATAAATAAATAAA